GTGTTTTTCAAATTATTCTACAGGTCTATGATGTTACTTATTCTCGCTAAGGAATGCTTCATTCGTTAAACAATTGTATATGTGTTACTTCCTTACATAAATAGATTACCATAACATCACGCTTTTTATCCCCGAAGGGGTAGGCAGAGGTGCACATTACGGCACTTAATGCTACTGTACAATGTAACACCCACTTTTCACTATTTATGTTTTGAGTCCCGTGTAATAAGGGGTAAGCTTATTGCCATTTACTGGGTACAATTCCAGACTCCGTGCTACTACTGAGGTTTTTACAAACCCAGTAATACTTTGCCCGACCCGGCAATCGAACACGAGACCTTGTCCGGCAGTTGCACTTGCGACTACTCGGCTCTCTTAGCCAATATAAATAGATTAATTAAGAAATAATTATTAGCTGGAGCAAAGAGTTGCTTTTTTCGATTCCAAATTAGCCGTTCAATTTAGCCGATTCGATGTCAAAGCCGAACAAAAACATCTTTTTCATATTCATCATAATAATTATGAAATAATATTACTATTTCAATAAAATAAAAATACGTTCCTTATGCACATTACCGATGTACACTGATGCATGGAAGATATAACACATTGTGTTTATGGCCGTCATTTGTATGTAATTAGGGACAGATTGTCCGTCAACTGAACCAGACCACCAACTATGATTAATTAATAACAGAATTGAAGGAAATATGTGAGAATTAGTCATCTTATCTCTCTTGGGAGGACCATTCACTTTGAAATTGTGAAAGACGTCATATTTTTTATACTATGGAGGGGTGGTTAGCTATACGAGATTATTTTAGTAAGTCTTTCACTAGTTTCTACATTACTATCGAATCGTACATTAATTTTTCGCCATCACCGTTCTAGAATTACATGATAACACGCCTTTTTATCCCCGAAGAGGTAGACAGAGTAGGTGAGTAGATTGACATAATGGCATTTATTGCCTCTGTACAATATAGTACCCACTTTTCACTTTTATGTTATGAGTCCCAAGTAACAGAAGGTGAGCCTATTGCCATATACCGGGCACAATTCCAGACTCCGTGCTACGACTAGAGAATTTTCTAAAAAATCCAGTAGATATAGAATCGAACCCAATACCCCTTGCCTGGCAGTCGCACTTGAGACCACTCGACTCACGAGGCAGTCAACCATTCAAGAATTCTACATATCAATGTAACTTCCTTTAATCTTAAACGGAGTCAATACACAAAATACACTGTCATTATAAAGATAATATATTTGTTAATATATTTGCCTCGAGTAAACTTATTTTTTAACATCAACTATCCTGATATCCATGCTAGTTCTAGACTTAAAAGAATTTTTCTAAGTCAAACGGGTGATATTAGCATTTCGTACGTTATTTTTGAGATAAACCGGTAAACGAGCATACGGATCACCTGATGGCAAGCAATCAGCGTCGCCCATGGACACCTGGAACACCAGAGGCGTTACAAATACCAGCCTTTTGGGGATTATAAATTTGAGGTTTGTTAAGGATTCAGGGTATGGGGAGATTGGGGAAGAGGATTGGTGATTGGGCCTCCGGTAACCTCACTCATACGACGAAATACAACTCAAGCCTTGTTTCACGTCGGTTTTCTGTGAGGCTGTGGTATCACTCCGGTCGAGCAGGCCAATTCGTGCCGAAGCATGACTTAAAATGTAGGTACTAAAACGTCTACTCCCAATTCCCGTCTAAATCTTACACCAAACCCACGCATTCCTGTGCCACCAGTAAGGAGCCACGTCCATTGAAACCTATGATTCAGGCCACGATCAATTTGCGTTGTCGATTTGCAGAGTAATCGCACTCTGGGTCACACGACCGGTATAGGGGACTCACCTGCTCAATTTGAAACATCCTCTCTCAACTATATGTAGCTATTGATGTATCGTATGGACGAAAAATGTTAGTAGAAGTTGGGATATTTACTTATGTTTCACGATATATCTGAAGGAATGTTTTAGTTATAAAGAAATGTATGGGAGTTATCAAATTAATGATGGAACTACTGTATTTTTTATATATGTAATGAAATGTATATATGTGGAAACCATGTGAAGAGTATTAGTGATGACAATAATACAAAATTTAAAATGAAATAATTTAAACAATTTAAAATGTGGAAAGAAGTGCGACACTTACTACCTACGTTTGGCCACTATCTCGCCTGGTGGTAAGCGATTATGCGGTCTACGATGGAGCACGTTTTCCCCTAAGCAACCTATTCACTCGGGCCTTAAAGACATCCAGATACTCTCCATAAAATACAGACTCTGGCAAAGAATTCCACTCCTTAACAGTACGTACAAGGAAGCTTGATGTCAAAGTCAAAGTCAAAGTCAAAGCATTTATTTCAATTAAACCATAGTTTGGTACTTTTTAAACGTCAACAAATACAAAATAAATAATAGTCTGTCAGTCAGTCCGTCAGTGAAATTAGGTGAAGCTAGGTGCGAAGATGCGAAGCGCTTCGTGCGTATGGATGGGACATATATCATGAATCGGTGACGCTTCGCCGAATTAATCTTATTTATTTAATACCTTGTGTAGTTGTATCCCACTCCATCTCATTATTATTAAAGCCATTTAAATCCAATAAACATAAAAGTGCTTCAAACTAATTCTTATACAGAAACAAACTCATTCGTGGACGATACTCGAAATAAAAAATGGTATGCCTAATAAATATTTCTAAACATTTTATTGAATTTATAAAACGTAATAATACGTAAAATTACTTTCATTTCTACTGACTAATATAATAGCAGTTGGCGCGTAAATAATAAATGGATATAGTCTTTCTTCGTCTTTTGAGAAAAAAGTATTGCAATGGACTCGCAAAAATAAATGAAATAGATAAAACTGTCGCAGACTAGAGGTAGATAAATTCTGATATAGAGCCGAAATTAATATTATTCTATTTAGTTTAGTGTGTTTGTAAATTTAACTCTTTTCATTTAATAATACGGGATGAATTTCATTCATTTCACTCATATTATTTGTGATGAAAAAACTTTAGTCTCTTTAATTCTGATCATTATATTTGAAAAATTTGTACTTCTAAAACTCAGTCTCTTGCTTTATGGCAATTGACAATGACTTCGGTATCAAGCCTACTTGTCTATTAGTACAATGGTGGAATGAACAACTGCTTAAACGGTTTTTGGGATTCTATTTCCCAGTTGGGTGCAGTATATTGTTTTATTATCAAAAATTATATTCGAAATCTGAAACTTTGCTGGAATATGGCAATAGATTCAACTCCTGCTACATAAACTACCGTAGAATGAACTGAAATATTCATTTCACCTTTCAAGGCCCCAAAAGATACCATAACACTATCAAAGAACTCGAAACACAGCAACTACTAAATAATACACAAGTACCTAGTATACTCAACTTATGTTATAAATGAGTAGCTCATCACTAAGTAGGGTTAAGCCTCGGCTGGCCTAGTAATGGATGCGATGTATGTACCCCGTGGTTTTTCATATCAACGCCTTCCATAAAGTCGTTTATAATTTTCTTTTGTTAAGTTCTATTCTGTACTATTATAGGTAATGTTGTTTTAGAGTTGTTCTTGTAGGTTTCTAGCTGATCAATAAATCATGAAGATTGAGGTTCAATTTTAAACTGTCAAACACCAAGCGGTCACCGGTGACCGCAACCTATTGTTCTATAATTGTGTCTATAATGACGGTACTTGGCGAGTTAAATCAAGACTGTTGTCATAGGTATTGAATAATAATGGTTAAAAACAAAGTTTCTATAGATTTGCTACGGTATATATTTATTGCTGAGGCCATTAAATGACTAGAAAATCACATAACTGACCTCCAAACGATAGATATCTTAAAAGGTATTGAAAAAAATTTGGAACACAGTTTCATAAATCGTTTCGAAAAATAAAAGATAAATAACAAAAAAACTTATATTAACAGAAACACTGCAGAGCCATTCATCATTGAATTTAAAATAATAATATCTTAGTTTAGATAAATAATACATAAGATAAAGCAGCTACATTACCACTGAAAAAGATTACCATCAAAATTAAAATATCTCGTTGGCAGTAACGACTGCCTCGTTGGCCGAGTGGTCGCAAGTGCGACTGACAGGCAAGGGGTTTCTGGTTCGATTCCCGGGTCGGGCAAAGTGTTATTAGGTTTTAAAAAAACTCAATTGCAGCACGGAGTCTGGAATTGTGCCCGGTATATGGCAATAGGCTCACCCTCTATTAGGTACTTACATGGGACTCATAACATAAATAGTGAAAAGTGGGTGTTACATTGTACAGTGGTATAATATAGATACACCTCTGCCTACCCCTTCGGGGATAAAAGGCGTGATGTTATGTTAAAATATCTATGTAAATTTCAGACTTGTCATTAGCTAACAAAACATTTAGTATTTGCTACTTCATTGTGAGAATAATGTTCGTAATTCATTACTCCAGCTCATTATAAATTGGACTGCATTACAATAGAGCAGGATCGCACATAAAGATATACCATTCTGTAAAACTTGTTCAATGTATTTTTTACTTTATTACAAAACCTTAAGGTTGAGAATCTAATGGAGAAAATGATCAGTTATGAGTATCATGATGAGCTGTCGTGTATAATGTTATATTTTGACGTAAAAGCCGCCGTAGTCATAATATTATGTGCTAGAATAATTTAGTGTTAAAATGTAGTTCTTAATAACAATGCTAGTGTTTAGGTTTAAAAGCATTTAACCGTGTAACAATGAAAAGGTTACTGTTTCATTAACTTAGGTACGTTTTGAATTCAAATACCTACTTATTTTGTGTATTTGACGTTTAAAAAATGACTATAAATTAATGACGAAAGAAAGGCGATTTTCTTCGATAAAAATGAATGGTTTACACGTTAATGTATTGAAAATAATCAAAAAGAAATATTTATGAATCGTAAAATGAATATAAAATAAAAATATTTACCTCGAAATATAAAAATCCATATCATAAAACACAACACGGGCACAGATTCAAAAACTCACGTGAATAGAACGTTTGAAATCCAAACCCAAATTCAAATGACAATTAAAATTCAACCGAATCCAATTCGTATTTCGAACATCGATTAACGGAATCCGATTCATATTTCGAATGCTTTTTCAAAAGCGAAGAGACGCGCGCGCGCGCGCTCTACCAAAGTTACACTAATTTACGATGGCGCGTGAGTCGCATTTACGCTATAAATAAATCGCTCGGGCGATTTCCAGCTGTGACCAATGGCGATTATCGTTTAGGGATATTAGTTGTTAATCCTTTGAATGCTGGCCTTTAATAAAACCATTTATTACGTATTATTTTTATTTGTGTAGGAAAGAAATTATGTCAATCTGTTGGAAAGGTCAGACTCCATGCTGGTGTGAGAACAAAAAGTAATCAGGTGTTCGGTTTTTGTCTATGGATTTTACCCGCCGAATAATTTAAAATTAGAATGTTTATTTATTTTAGTTCGAACTCTAAAATGTGACATTGTTTTTTTCTTTATACTTATTTTCTAAAATTGTTAACACCCTTTTTAGGAATAAATTATTACTATTGTCAACAAATTCACTAAACAAAAAATAAAGTCAATACTATAAACTACAACCTTAATCGTTTATATGGCGTTATGGCTGCGACGTTATTTTATAAATCAATATTTTATACCGATTTTAATAAATCAATTTGTGATGATTTATTTCTGAATATTTCTTTGGTACAAGTATTACATCCGTGCACATTGAAGCCAGTTTCTAATAATATGCTAATAGTGATATAGCTCTATAATTACTGTAAACCAATGCTTACTCAATCTAGGTAAATCGCGTTAGTCTCGTAAGACGATTAAAGGATTGTTTTTGAATAAGTAAAGAGGGCATAAAACCTGTGAAATAAATGTGAAAAAGAAAAGTAATTTTTCGTCCTTAACTATTATAATATTTTTTTCGAATTGCGTTTATTATTATCTCGCCCTTGCGTTGTTTGTATCTCAAAATGGTTTAGACCGACCGATATGACGAAGGCTGCCATGGCCAACCAGATCCAGACCCGAGCGTACGGCCCGTAGGGTACCGCGCGCGCCTCAAAGACTCATAACACCACCACGGATAGAGCCTAATAGGATTGATGCAGATACGGAGCCGCGGAGAACGTGAAAGGTTACCGGAGCTCCGGGTCGAAGTGCAGGAGTAGGAACGGGGTGGTTTTTGACGTGACAACGTCTTAAATTAGGTTGCGGCTGGGAGTCACTTATGAAAAAGTGTAACGCTCGGTAACGTTACGATGAGTCACCGGACGAGAGAGAGGCCCGCCGAATGCCTTGCGTCTCTCTCCCACTCAACTATGATCGGTCTGCCGCACGCGCAGCACTAGTTCATTCAATTCCTTGTTCCTATTGTGCAATTTAATTATATTCATATCAATAAATATTCTACCGAGAAAAAGACGTTGTCACGTAAAATCTTCGCCCGTAAAAACGACTTTATTTAGTCAGTAAGAGTCTGACACTCCCTACCGCCTCACTTAGGCGGGAGAAGTCATTCGAGGACTGCAACCTTTAAAAAAATGAAGGCCGTGGACCGATACCATACTACTTTTTTTCTCTAAACCCTGATTGGTTATCTTCTGTACTAATATAAATTATTAAAAGTTGTGTATTATTATAGTAAATCTACTTATTATGGGCACTACCATTGAATTGTTGATTTCTGACATTCTGTCCCTAAATTCCTAAATATATAAAATAATAAATAACCATAAATAACATGTTTGATTTTTTTAAAATTATTCTGTAATTATTTCCCAGTTCAAAATTTATTTTGGGAATTTAAATAGATACAGGAGAAGAGAAACGTTCAACGTCACAATGACAAGGACCTTACTTTCGTCACACACCGATGGGAAACGTCAAATGTAGCTTAACCGTGGGATCCGTTGATCCATCGGTGATCCGCAGAGCCGTAGATTTTTAACATATTTCAAAAAGAACGAGTTTCTTAATTCAATCGTTTTATTTTATTATTTTCTGAACTTAGCGTAAAATATATTCTACCCATCCACCTGAAATGACTGACAAGATAGCAATTAATTTCATTAACGTAGTACCTATGATATGATACCAGTCCTATTTTAACCGACTTCAAGAAAAGCAGGTTCTCGGTTTGTTCTCATGTGTTTATGTATGTATGTACATATGTATGTATGTTTTTGCGTGATTATCTGGTGATTAGCTGAACCGATAAAGATTCCGTTTTCAGAAAAGTGTTTCATAATTTTTCATAATCAAAATAATACTTACTTTTCATAATCAAAATAATTAACATTAATTTACTGACCTATTTTTTTTTAAATGAAGTTCATAAAATAATTGGACTATTTTATCGATCTGAGAAATCAGAATCAGCAATCGCCCTTACCTTTTGATAAACAAATTAATAAATAAATTATTATGTTTTCAGCTTACTCACGTAATAATTTGACGAGGAGCTCGACTAGTTTCAAGCCATGCTTGTTACTTTTTTACCAAGTTACAATACAATACAAATTAATAAACATTCAAAATCCAACCATTCTATACACCACATCAACAAAATTATTGGCAAGATATTATTTAGGTCCACATAGCACATATACATAGGTTATATACGAAATCCCCAACTCAGCCGTAGATATAAAGATTATGGCCGACGTTTATGACAGTTACTGTTTTTATTGCCCACTCCACACGTCGCACATTGGTTTGTTTGAAGAGATTGTTGCTGGCAACTAAACAGTTGGGCGATGATCGTGTTGCTTGCGATTTATTGTTGGTGTTGTAGTGTTAGTAGTGTGGAATATGAGTTGTTCAATAAGGCTAAAAATAACTTATTAATAAACACGCTTTGTGTTTATTAATTAGTTATTTTTAACTGACTTCAAAAGCAATACAACAAGGTTCTCAGATTGACCTGTATGTAAGAATCTAGATTAGTACGCGATTATCTGAACGGATTTTAATGCGACATTCGGAAAAATGTTTGCAACACCTTGGAGTAGACTTCATATTTAATTAACTGACTTCAAAAAGAGGAGATTTGCAATCAGTTATCTTATACTTGGTTTATAAAAGAATTGTAGCCATCAGAATTAACATACTAACGCATATACAATGTAACGCGATTAGGCAGATCTTACAAAATTTTTTCATCAATATATTTAACAGTCAAAAATAGTTAATTAAAAATGAACTAATTTATGTGCAAAAACTACATTATAGTTCCAAACACCATGTTACTATCAACATTCAGGTGACTGAAAATTTTGACAGGATTTTAGAAGTAAATGGGCAACAGTTGCGCAACTAATAAGTTGCCATGCCTACCAGTACACACGTTAGGGCTGTCACATGTCATAGTTAACTTGTCTATGGGTTACCATAAATAATTCTTTTAATGGTGTCATTCGCACGCGTTAAATCCTATGTGTCGGCTTTGGTAACACCGCGGTTAGTATTTTTCAGTTTTAAGCTTTTTATTTCGAACATAGGTTATTCCAAAGTGGTGGTGGGGAAAGTAATAAATGCAATGTAATTAAAGTAAATAACATAATTAATAATAACTTGAAATAAATATACAATCTGAAACATCTACATAGAACTGGCAAACGCACAACAGACTTAAATAAAACTTTATTGAAAAACAGTTTTAAACTGCGAAAAAGAAAAAACTTTAAATACTTTAATCTATGAACATTAAAAACTAAATTAAAAAAAAACAATCTTGATCTGAAACTCGTTTAATCTGTACGTCAAGAAGTTTAACACTAAGTAATACAATAATTTAAAGTTGTAACAACACATTTTAATAATGTAGTAAGACTAAGAAGAGACAACTAAACGAAAGTACTTGAAGCTTTTTGCATTATTTTTTCAGTTACAGCATTAAAACTGAATATAAATGGATGTCTGCTACTTAAACTAGGCCATTCTGAAATACAGGGACGTCTCTTTAACATAATTAAGCAGTATTTCGCGCGCAAAATCTTTTTTTAAGTTTTTTTTAGCGCAAAATAATTCTTACGTTTCTATTTTGTTCAGCAAAAAAGGTTTCATTTTAAATTTATTAAAAAAAGTCTTCAACTTTGAGGTCTCTGTTGAATTTATGTTTTTTGTTCTTGTTTTTTTTTTGTTTGCAATGATTGATAGTGTTGATTTTTATGTTTTAATGTGAAAATATAATGGAGTAATTTACTTGTGGAATTGGAAGCTACGTGGAACAGAATACTTTTATCATTACTTCAACTCTTCTCATGGATTCTTTAGGCAGCAGCGCTCTTTGATAAACCTTTTAAACTGTGAAGTGCTAAGATAAAAGAAAACCTAGAGATTCTGAAGAATGTAAATACAATTGACGAACCACGACTGATTGATAAAATTACAACAAATGGGGACGATCCTAGACGGACATATACTGACCAGATTGGCGGAATAAATATGGAAGAAATATGGAAGAAGGGCCAGATGAAAAGTACCCTTAACCGACGAGCATGCATGAAAAGATTGATAACTGTTGATCAAGCGAAAGAAGTATGTAGGAATCGTAGCAATTAGCGTAAAATTCTATAGTATCTACCTACCCCCATGGGAGACAGGCAATAAAGTTATGTATGTAATTACAACGAGAGCAAGAACACTCAAAAGCCTAGTATTTCTTAAACCCGCCATCTTAAAAACGCACACACACATATATAAAACATTCCAAAAAGGAATCATTAAACGGCCACAGACATAGGGTCGCGCACTTACTCTTTATTAGGATGACCATAAATGCCCAGTCAGCAGGACAATCCGCCTAATAGCTAGCGATTCATAATAAAACAATGATGTCCCCACTTTACGATGGATAAGGAATATTCACCGCGTTATAATGTTACGTTTTTGTGGATACGGTTAAGGGCTCATATTCCTTATGTGGCTCGTAAATTATTAGCTGATTGCGCACTTTTTTATAAGATTTTATTTTTATATTGAGTGTGCTTTTATTGGTTTTGTGTTTATGCGGTTTTTTTTATTAAGCGCGTCGTTGAGTTCATCCGGTAATACTAAGAATCATACCGCATCCATATTTGAATAACATTTCGTTTAAGATCTTAAACCCTAGAAGTAATAAGCGCTAACCCTAAAAAATATTCTCGTAACCGCTCCAAAATAAAGTTACATAATTAAAGTTTATTGAATTGTAGAAAAACAAATCGAATCCAAAACCGCTTTAAAAGGTCCTGTCATAAAACACAGAAATCACCCAGCGGGGTACAAAATGTAAATGGAAAAAATGAAAGGGAAATAAATTATTTCTTTTTTCACAAAAAAACCGTTTAAAAAGTAAAAATCTTTATAACGTTCAGGGATTGTTCCACGAAAAAAAATACTACTGAAACAATTCCCCGGAATAATTTTACATACTAAAAAGTTAAAATGGCGGCGCGTCATATTATGTTAGTCGGATCGAGGGTGTTTCGGTTCCAAGTATTTTGTGATATTGTTAAATGTTAACGATTGGTTTACAAGGGCGGCCAGAGAAAATTTAACATTTTCTCACACGTTGTTATAATATCCATCAATGAATTGGCATGGTAACGCTTCTTTTTCTACGTAGTGTAGAAGATTCAATCTAGTCTCATAAAACTGCTACCTAACCTTAGTAAGCCCATTATATTTAGGCATTTGTGCACATTATGATTAGTTCCATCATTTTAGTCGTAATATAACAACAAACGTAACATGATTAACAGCGACTACAAAGAATTTCGAAATAAAACCCCATTGCCCTTTCGAAAATCTCAACAATCAATATGGTTCATTGGTCAATGCGCATTTCTTTGGGTTCCTTCTACCTCCTTTCTTATATGGTAACCTTACCTTACCTTTTCTCTTTAATGGTAAGCTTAACCACACCTGGCTTTTTGTTCTATGACGTCATCAGTAAGGTCAGTGTTATATTTCTTAGGGGAGTTCTATTACATTGTGTATCCGTTCTACAACAATATTATTATATTATAATTACAAATCACAACTGACCATGAAGCTCTCTCCAGTTTGGTGGAATGACACTATCTACATAATGGCTAATAGAGTAGTGTTTGAATATGAACTGCTGAAGATCGGGTCCAATGGAGTATTCAACCTCATCATAATAATACAGGGCACCTTGAGGCGAGGTGACGGGCATTAGCGATCCCGCGGGCTACCATCATCCCGAGTGCTCCAGGGAGAAGTCACCGTTCCTTCTTCTCCGGCTTGCCTTAATTGGCTGGCTGGAGTGAACGATGACAAGGAACAGGTCTCCCACCTCTGGCTTGCCTTCATTGGCCGTCCAGAGTGGAGTCGCGAGAGCAGTGATCCTGCTCGGAGGGTAAGAAACTATTCGTAAGTCGCGAGTGGGCCAGGGATGCAGGAGGCTTCGGCTGGAGCAGATGATCTGAGTAGAAAGCGGTGGTAGTTTCTTAACCCTTCAGCCACTCACATTCTCGTTGCCCCTTTGTTGCTATATCTAGCAACCATTCCCGGGGCCCGGTCGGTGAGTTGGCGAGTCTCCGCCTGCCATTTTTACGTGTAATAATTACATTGTTTCGGCAGGTGCCATAGTCATCCATAGTTCCCAATTTCCCAGTCCACAGCAACCCATCCATAGCCCTACCTTTTTTTTCCATTATCCACAATAGTTTTACACAAACCGGGGGCTGTCCTTGGGTGCATTTCCATAGTGCATACAGGGATAGTCGCCGGTTTGTGTGTCCACTACATTTATATTAAAGTTGTCTAAAGGGCCTCTGCGCAGTTGGCTTCGGCCCCTCGTACGCCTCCCAAATGACCGGGACCCTGTGGTCCCGTGAATGGTAAAGACATACATAATAATAATAATAATAATAAATTGTTTATTTTATAAAAAGGGACATATTTACATGTAGTATCTTAACGATTTGATTAGAGCTCAGTTGCTTATTTGCCTGAACTAGGTAGAACCTGTGTTTCAGACTATTCAGTACAATATTTTATTTTAAAGTTATAAATAAATTAACAGTATAAAGTACTAAAATAAATCTTACATAACATAAAAGTAAAAGGTAAAAACAGCGAGTTAGCAGATTATCTCTGCCGTCCTTTAACTATAATGCCGTTAAGTGACATTAGGCGTTTTCACTTTTTCTGAGGCCATTTACATCAGAAAAAAACGTTCTATCGTTACATCTATTTACAGTTTCGATAGCTCTTGTGGTTTTCGAGATATATGAAAAAAGAAATGCCGTTAAAAGCACAAATCATAAAGTAAACCTATGCTAAAATGTTGTTAAGTGACATTACCAAGCAAAAATGCGGGTAAAGCTACATAGCCACAGATTTGAACAAATAATTTGCGATTTTCTACCTAGCTAAATTGCCGTTAAATTATTTTCTTATCCTATAGGGCAGTAAAAGTACTTTAGCGGCTCTTTAACTAGGCATTTTTATTTTTGATGTAAACAAATCCATAACAATAAAGCCACTATATAAGAATCCTATGCGTAAATGCCGTAAAACACCCTTTGCTGCATTTAAGAGTTTTATATAAATATATTAATTTGGCAGTTTACAATTAGAATTCGTATACAGCGGCAGATATTTATAATCCAGCAAAATATTTTAAACATTTTTCAAGACTAAATTGCGGCTATGCAACATAACTAATCTAAAATGCCGCTAAGTATTCTCGCGACCGTACAAGTTTTGGGTAATCCTGATTTACGTTGATCACGCGGCGGACGCGCGGGAGCCGCGCGAGAGCGACGCGGGGCCCGGTGCGGGCGGGGTGATTTAGTGCGGTGCAAGGGTTCGAACGGGACGGACGCGTCGTAACGCTCCGCACTCGCGGATTCCCGCCAATTTCGTTACCATGGCTAACATCAATACCAGGTATGGACCTACTTTCATCAAAAGCGCGCTTTTTGTTTTTAGCCAATTATGATTTTTAGATCTACTGGGAAAAATAAGCTCTTATATTATAATATAACATTTTATAACATTATAATATAACATAAGAGCTTATTTCTCCCAGTAGATTAATCGACTAAGAAGAAAGGATACAAACATATTATGTTTGTGTCCTCTCCTCTCTTCTTGGTCTATTATTTGTTGTAATAAAATTAGTGTTACTAAAACATTACTTTTAATGTTATTTTACTGTGCTTATATATTTCCAACGTTCGCAACCGTTATATTCAAAATGGCTTCTGCGTGTGTTCAAAGCATTCATGATATTAATCATTTAATAACATTGTTACAGGCGGTCCGCTGTAACACAAAGAACCCAAAACATTCTTAATATGGTCATACAGAAGGATTCAAAAGAAAAGGTCGTTGACCCCGGTGATTCCAATTATTTTGTCAATATCTATACTAGGCCTTATTCTATGATTTCCAGCGTTTTTGACACATTTTGTGACACGCAAATATCAAATAACTCGCACTACTTGCCTGATTTAATTAAATTCCAAAGTTTGAATGAATCATTTGTCACAAAAAAAAGTGTCAATACGGAATTAGAAACCAATTCAATCGACCTGACTTGCAAGGAAGTTATGCCTATTGAAGAATCACCAGAATCCACAAATTTCGATAGTTACAACAAAAGTAATTATCTAACAAACTACCCCATACAAGATACCACAATATGCGATTACGATTCAGATGACTCAGTCCGCGACAAAGACTACAACCCATCTGAGTGTGACATCACGTCAAGTGACGACTCTGTTGGTGAAATCAAACAAAAGAAGTTACGAAAGACACAAAAAAATAATACTAATTTGGCTCCAGGAAGTTCTCCTCCAACTTATAAAACATTACCTGAAATTGCAAATAAAAAAATCTTACGTAAATTGCGAAGGAGTTCATTTGATATTAGGCAAACTGTGCCTCCTAGGAAAGTTGCAAGTTGCAAACGAAGGAGCACAATTGATGTTGGAGTTTTTCAAATATTAACCACGGATGATACATCACACAACTTGGAACAAGAACCATCTTTGCAAAGAAAACGTAAAAAATATAATACATCTGCACTTCAAAGAAAAATAGATGCACAAAACAAAAAATGTTTAGAACACTTGGTCCAACCGGGATGTAATGAAAAATGTTTAAAAAAATGTAACACTCAAGTATCACAAGAAGATCGAGAACTAATCAACCGCAACTACTGGACAATGAATTTCGTAGATCAACATAAGTTTGTGAACACGCATACTGCAGTAGCGCGACCTAAAAGAAAAATCACAACGGAACCAAAGAGGAAGCCAAGAAGGACATTCTTTTTAAAAAAAATTGATGGCACGAAGGTAGAAGTCTGTAAAATATTTTTCTTGACCACTTTAGGCTACGTTAAAACAAATGACCGGATACTTCAAGATAAACGAATAGACACCACGTGCGATAAAAGGGGAAAACATAAAAAAACTCCGTCATTTAATAGAGATATGTTAAAACAACATGTAGAATCATTTAATCCGATGGAACCTCACTACAGGCGAGAACATGCTCCATTGCGACGCTACCTGCCAAGCGATTTAAATGTTGTTCACATGCATAAAGATTTCCTTCAAAAACATCCCGATCACAAAATCAGCTACGAATTATATAGAAATAATTTAAAAGCTATGAATATATCTTTTGCTCGCCTCGGCAATGAAGAATGTGAAGTGTGCGAGGCTTACGACTTACATAAAAAAGGAACTTCTCACGATCAAACTGATGGTTGCGCTGTGTGTATGGACTGGATTAAGCATCACGAGAAATACTTAAAAGCGAGGCAGCTCTACGAAAATCACAAAAAAATGCCACAAGATCACACTGCGATTTATTTCAGCGCTGATTTAGAGAAAGTGATCATGTTACCAAGATTGGAGTCTTTCAAATCTGCTATATTTTGTCAGCGTCTTGTAGCTTATAATCATACCTTCGCACCTCTGGGTAAAATAACATCCGAATCTAAGCCGCTAACAGTCTTATGGCATGATGCTCAAGCGGGACGGAGGCAAGAAGATATCATGACAGGATTTTATTATTTTCTTCTTCGAAACCGAGATATAACAAACATACATATCTGGCTGGACAACTGCACCGCACAGAATAAAAATTGGTTACTATATTCAATGCTAGTGCACTTGGTAAACGGTAGTGACATTAGTGCAGAACAAATTGTTCTGCACTATTTAGAGCCTGGTCATACGTTTATGAGCGCCGACCAAGTGCATCGCCAAGTAGAACTCGCCATGAAAAAGAAAGGGAAACTCTACGACTTTACCGATTTTGAAGAAGCAGTATCATCTATAAATAATGGAAAAGTTATTGTGAAATCTTTGGTCGCTGATAACTTTTTAAATGTACCAAATTATGTATCAGATAGAAGAATACAGAATTCTAATCCGAGAGCATATTTGAAAAACATGACACAGGTGTGTTTTAGTCGGAATAATTATGATCTCATGTACAAAAACGATTTTGAAGACGAATACACACTACTGAGATTCATGAACGACAAATATATAAAAAATCCAAAACTGTTCAAGTTAGAATTTCGTACTAAACCAAAAGGTATAGATGTAGAGAGAAAAGCTGGCATTCTAGAAAAATTATCCAACATAATACCACCACATAAATTGGTATTTTGGAACAATTTGCCAACGACTCAATCTAATGTTGAGGTAAGCACAAGTGGTGCTAAGAATTATAAAAAAAGTCAACACAAAAGTACTGAGTAAATCTAAGTAACTGAAGACTGTAATTTTGATAATAATATTTTATCCCTAGACAATAAGTAAATGTTCCTTCAATGTTTTTTTATTAATATTTTTTTTTTAATAACTAGTGTAATTTAATTACTCTAGAATATTATAAGCATCTGCTATCTACCTCTAATATAGTAAGTTAAGTTGGTACGATTTTTTGAAATAATATTGATCTCATTTTGATTAAATAAAAAACGAAGATTTTAATAAAATGCTTGTTTTATTTTTATATTTTACTTCAATTCATTTGAAGCTCTATTAATTTATAAAACTTTATGCATATCTAAAATGCCGTTATCATTAAATGTTTTGTGCTTAGCCACATTAAAGCAATGTAATAAATAAAAAATTTCGTACGGCAAAACAAGACATGAAGTTATTATTGAATTTTACTTGTCTTGTTTGCCGTTAAGTGACTTAGCGGCAATAATGCATAGTTCGAGTCTATTTTTTTAAACAATAATGCTAACCAATATTGACTTTTAGTGTTTTAACGGCTATTAAGGTAAGTTTTATTACAACATTTTTAAGTGTGGAACATAACTAAATTATTAGGTCATAACCATTAGCAATAATGCCGTTAAGGTATACATTACGGCATTATAGTCAGGATTTTAAGGCTAAATCTTTTATAAATTACTTTAATAAAATGATAAATATTGATTTCCTCTAATTTACTAAAACGTTTTTGACTGACAGTTACACTGATTAAAATAGCCTTCAAGACAATTTTTTTGGTATTTAAATGTCTCGCAAGTAACTTCTCATTAGGAAGTAGCATCAATTTTAAATTATTTTACCGTTTTTCGCGCGTATCTCGAAATTTGGTTTTGGTACTTAACGGCACTCTAGTTAAAGGACGGCAGATCTGTCGACCAACAGTAAGTCTTCAGTCTGCGCATATGCAGTATTACGCAAGAACGCAATAACAGTTTTTTTACAATTAAAATAGTTTAATGTAAAAACGCTTAATTTTCTATTTAACCTATTGTACAAAAGTGGACCTAAAAATGAAAAGAATCTTTCGGCAAAAACATTTCTAGTTGCATTGGAACTGCATACTATATCATTCCGTCTCTTATTAGTCTATAATTGTCCCTCTATCGTGAAGACCTGAAGATGGAAACCAGGATACTTCGTCATCATTAGCTTGCAACTGTTCTACTGGTACTGGTACTGGTCTCTTCTCATACAGAAATTTAAACCGTGATGTAAGTGACATTTTTCAAAATTTTTGCAAAACGTAATGATGCTTTGCCTGGACTTATTAAAATATTAATCTCAAGCACCATGTCATCAACATATCTGAGACCAAAATCTATTAACACTAGAGCTTTTAGAGTTAAACACACATTGATTCAAAAGTTAGTGTTAGTTGTGTGTCAAGTTAAACAAAACTGGACGAGAAACTAATATTTTAGTGCAACATATCGATGAATGGTAGGTGCATAAAGGCCAAAGTTTAATCGATGTGTTCACACACTGGTAATCTGTCATATATTCAACTATGGGTAGTATATTATATGTATGCATTCCTGCGGTCATCATTTAATAGGAAGTTGTGTTTTGTGTGGGTTGCCAACTTGGTTACTACAAGTAATAAAGGCAGCAGGGATTTTTTTTTCTTATTATAAATCGTTGCCCCACATTATAATTTTCTCCTGTGTCGTAAGTGCGTTCAAAAACATACAAGTTCACATACACAATGACACCTAGACCAGAAACAACAATTTGTAAATCACACACGCTAAGTGTTGTTCCATGCGGGAATCGAACCCGCGAGACGTTACACGGCAGCCGTTTGCCCAGCCACAGCACCAACCATGCAGTCAATAGAAACTAAGTAATTTTCTATATTTTATAAACAAAAATGTATATTAAATTAATACATACGCCCATCTACATAAATAAACTATTTTTATAAAAAAATCACTAAAAATATATATAAAACAATAGAATGTTTATTTTAACTTCATCAATTCGTTAGTCTGCACACAATTGTCTCAGTACGTAGGTGTCACATTAATCTCAGGACCTTGTCTCGGATTATCATAGCGTGTGGACATACGAGTGGGTAGTTGGGAATGCCGAGCGAAATTGTTGGTCACTTGGTCATGGTTATATTAAAATGTATTTATATTAAGGGTGACCATGTTGGGTATTTTAAGTGGAAAGTATAAATTGGTGGAAAACTGATATAAAAAAATGGTTTTCTATGTTTTACTATAAAACCCGGCGAACTCCGTTTCGCCACCAGATGGCTTCGTTTTATGTAATATTTCGTTTGGTGATTAAAAGATGAAGAAAAACCTTTTTTTTTTCTTTTATACTTCATAAACCTGGAGCTACCGCTGTCGGTTCCCGGACCCGGCGGACGGAGACCTTCCCAAGGAATGTAAAACCGCGGAAATCGGTTCGTGCGTTCTGGAGCTATAGCGTCAGGAAGGAAAATCCGACTTATTTTTATATAGTAGATTATTTTAGAAATAGTTTATGCATTCAATGGAAAGAGAAATACTACGAAAAACATTACATAGGTGGTTTTTAATTGTTAGTTATCGAAAAAAACCTTCACAATTATTCGGAACCGTAGTCAAAAATCCAACCTATTTATGTACACAAGCAAAATTGTTGGTACACAGCTCAGTACATAAAAATAAAGCCCCGTATATCATTGGATACTTAAGAAAACGAGCATTCCACCCCCCGTGTGTTACATTGCCCTAACAGACGACTAATTACCATATACAAACATTATACTTACATAGATAATTAATTCCATAAATATTAAGGGATTGTCTCGCGAAATAATGAAGATATTATGGTTACAGTACATTTTTTTTATTGTTAGTAAAATAATAAATATGTCTTATTGATATGTAAAGTATGTTAATTTTACTGCTATGATGCTATTGTGCATAATAGCATGCCTTCTCAAAACCTTTAAATGATAGATAGAGATGCTAAGGCTAAGCACTCACGGCGCGATTTTCACCCGCGACCGCCGCGGTGGCAGTATGGAGGCGGAATTTAAAAAACTCACGAGACTATAGTTTTATGCGGTTATGCAGCCGCCGTGGTTGAGATTAAAACCGCAAACTTGCCGGTTGATAATTGCAAGACGGGCAGTTAAACATCGCCCACCAACCGATCGCAGAGTGTGCGGGTGAAACCTCCGCGGTTGCGGGACCGGGACTGCGCCCGCAGATCCAGCGGTTTTTTTTTAAGGGGGGAAAATCATCGAATGTCGGGAGTGTCAGACTCTTACTGATCAAACGATGGCCTCAAACAATTACAAGCGCCGCGAGCGTAAAACGGGACGTAAAATTTGCTTTGATTTTTTTACATAAATATCTGTATTCTACATAGACTGCGGGCCTGCAACCGCAGCGGGCGTGGGATAAAATCGCATCGTGAGTCCTTAGCATTAGAATACATGACACACATAAACTGCTGCATATTAAATGACTGCAATTCACCAACCTTGCTGGCAGCTGGGCAACTGGCTGCCGTGTAAAGTGTCGCGGGTTCGATTCCCGCACGGAGCAACTCTTTGTGTGATCCACAGATTGTTGTTCCAGATCTGGGTGTTATGTGTATGTCGGCGCCGCCGTCATTATTTTGTAAACTGCGAATGTAATGGGCGAGCAGTGAACAAACAACTGACCGACGTCACTTCAACCCCACCACCGAGTGATATATAAAGCAGCGCAAGCGCAAGCTCGAGTCAGTCGTTCGTCGATCGTTGCCCAGTTCACACGTTACGCAATCGCTGAGTAATTTTATTGTTGGTTTTATTTGAGTGTTTCCTTTATATAATCAGTGCTGAATTATTCAATTATTATAATTAAAAATTAATGTGAAAGTAAGTTCATTTAATCGAAATAAACTAAGTGATTGTGTGAAGCTCTTTGTTTTATTTTCAAATAATGTCGGACCCTGATCCTACATCAGAAGTGGGATGGACCGGGATTATTGAAAATGTTAAAATTATCGGAGCCGGTTCGTGAAGAACTACCTACATGCAAATGCGACGAAGAAGATAGTGCTGCAAGATTGGAAGTGCTTAGCTATACATAGCTAGCTACTCTGTAGTGAAGATACAACGTGGCTAACGTTGAGGCAGCTACTTCGAACTGAATCGCTATCTGAAGCAGCAAATGAAGACATGACGTGGTCCCAATTCAAGCCGGAGTACATTGGCGTCCAGTGACAGCGTAAGATACGCGGCGTTAACGCAGCGTTTGGTGAGCGGCGTCTTGATGTCTGCAATTGGACACTGCTCCCATCGGGATTATACCAGGTGACTTTGTTCCATTTATTATGATTCCGATACCATATGGGTCAAAAACGAGTCAAAGACTTGAGTTTACAATTGTTAGTTTTCCAATTTGAAATTTTATTTTATTTTTGTCGGGTAGTTATTTAAAGAAAATAGCCGTGATGTTTTAGATCCGAGATTATACATGGTCATTAGAATTACGTCTGATAGTGTTACTTTGTGTTGTGTATTGTTAGGTAATATCTCAAGTAGTAGGCTTTCATTTGGTTGGAACTTGGAGGTATGGTTTCCGCGAGGTAGATGCAGAATTAAGTGGTGCTTGCTGTCTAACGCGGTACAGAGTATTGAGAAAAGTAGTTTATAACAAATAAAGGTCAAAAGCTGCTAATAATAATTGGTAGTTAAAGTCAGAATTGAAGAGACCTCTAAAGTCCTACATTCATTTAGGATTATTGTTGGGTTGGAAAATAGTTAAAGCGCTAAGAATACTCTGATGAGAAACATGCTTCCCTTGATCTTGCCATTAGGATTTGTTATAATTAGGGCCTTTCAGTACCTAGTGAGTTAGTAATTGTAAGGGTAAAACTTTTCATTTATTCTACTATATCGTGTGTGCTAGTCATAGTCGTTACTGGGGCAGGGACTCGAGTCCATATAATGAAACTACAGTCGTGGCTGACTTGTGACTCTG